CTTCCTGAAACCATAGCGACACTCATTCAAAAACCAATAAAGACCAAACTTGGAACATAGAGCCCCCATGGCACACTCAACATTCTGGTGAGGTTTGGGGAGTACCGACTATGGATGATGGGACTTCAAGTACCTCCACTCACTTCCCAAGACCTCTGCAACACTCATCTAATGACCTATCAAGTCCAAACTTGGCACACAAAACCCCCATGACCAACTCTCCATCCTGGAGCAGTTTGGAGGGGGATGGACCACAGATAATGGGACTCACAGTAACTTCACTAACTTCCTGAAACCACAGTGACATTCATCCAAATACCAATAAAGACCAAACGTGGCACAGAGAGCCCCCATGGCCAACTCAACATTCTGGTGATGTTTGAGGGAGACTAGGGATGATGGGACTTGCTGTACCTTAACTCACTTTCTGAGACTGCTGCGACCCTCATCCAATGACTGATCAAGACCAAACTTAGCACACAAAGCCCCCATGACCCTCTCCCCATCCTGGTGCAGTTTGGAAGACGATGGACCACAGATGATGGGATTCACAGTACCTTCACAAACTTTCTGAGACCACTGCGAGCCATATAAATAACTGATAAACACCAACCTTGATATACAATTCCTTTCTCTAATAACCCGGGCAGCGCCGGGTCCCCAAGCTAGTATATAATAAAAGAGAGTGTTTGTATGGGAAGGACAGAGGTGCGGAGGGCGGAAGGTGTATGTGCCAGCGTTCTGATTGGCTGCCGCTGTGGTGCTATTTGCATATGGTCTCTGATTGGCCAGCTTCAATAGGAGCCCCTGGTGGAGAAGAGGGTTCATGGCAGAAACGGGGACATGAGAAGGAAATTTGCATATGGTCCCTGATTGGACAGCCTCAATTCCAAGATTCCGAGATGAGGAAAGGAAAAGGCCAGAGGGGGCTGGGTCAGAACATTACCAATACAAACCAGACTTGGCACACAGAGCCCCCATGACCCACTCGACATCCTACTGCAGTTTGGAGGAGGATGAACCATGGATGATGGGACTTGCAGTACCATCACTCACATTCGGAGACTGCTGTTAACCTCATCCAATGACTGATCAGGACCAAACTTGGCACATAGACCTCTCATGACCCACTTTACGTCCTGGTGTGGTTTGGCCGAGGATGGACCATGGATTATGGGACTTGCAGTACTTTTGCTCAATTCTTGAGACCACTGCAACCCTCAACCAATTACCGATACAGACCAAACTTGGCACACTGAGTCTCCATGACGCACTCTACATCCTGGTGCGGCTTGGAGGAGGATGCACCATGGACGATGGGACTTGCAATACCTGCACTCCCTTCCTAAAACCTTCCTAAAAACTGCCAACAATGATGGATACATCCTGGTGCGGTTTGGAAGAATTTGACAATGGATGATGGGACTTGCAGTCACTTCACTCACTTCCTGAGACCACTGAGACCCTCACCAATGACTGATCAAGACCAAACTTGCCACACAGAGTCCCCAGGACCCACTCTACATCCTGGTGCACTTTCGAGGAAGACAGACCATGGATGATGGGACTTGAAGTACCTCCACTCCCTTCCCAAGATGGCTGCAACCCTCATCTAATGTCTGATCAAGATCAAACTTGGCACACAGAGCCCCCATGACCCACTCTGCATCCTGCTGCAGTTTGAAGGAGGATCGACTTTGGATGATGGGACTTGCAGTACCATCACTCACATTCTGAGACCGCTGTTAACCTCATCCAATGTCTGATCAGGACCAAACTTGGCACATAGACCTCTCATGACCCACTTTACGTCCTGGTGTGTGTTTGGCTGGGGATAGACCATGGATTATGGGACTTGCAGTACTTTTGCGCAATTCTTGAGGCCACTGCAATGCTCATCCAATTACCGATAAAGACCAAACTTGGCACACTGAGTCTCCATGACGCACTCTACA